GTACACAAATAAATATGCCTCTAGTTGCTTATTCCCTACAGATGTCCTTGTGTATCATGTCACTCCTGGAGACTGGGTATTCCTTAAATCTTGGAAAGATCTTCACCCTGAAGACCAGTTGGGGCCTCAGTCGATGGGGACCTATGAAGTCTTCCTGGTTACTCACTCCTCAGTTGAACTAAAGGGAGTTACTCGGGTAGAGAATATGCCGGTTGATGGTCAGGGCCCCTTCAGACCTGTCTGTAACAACTGGACAGGCAATAATCTTCACTGACAGTAAGAAGCTGGGGGGGGCCAGACCTTTAGAATGCTGGATGCCTCAGATGAGGACTTTGCTACTCCTGTGAACCTTTGGGTAATTTGAAGGTGCCCTTCAAGAAGGAGACTTGGAGATAAGTAATGAGCGAGTTCTCCTGCCTCACTTTTCTCTTACTAATCATCTTTTGTGTCGTGCCTGGAAGCCTGAGTCACTTCACCTGTAACTCACAGGACTCCATGTGTCCTTTCCCACGTAGCAAATCCATTAGCCTCTTGACTGCTAAAATTGAACAAATGGCCACCCCCTTTTCTCCCCTCGTACTTCCTCTAACCCTGATCTTCGTCCCTTGTCAGCAGGAAGTAGCTAGAGTGGTCGTCGCCCCGTTCCCTTGAGATTGAGGAATGTACAACAAAATGGGGTTGGGGGGGATTCAGACGGCATAACTGGTTTCGCCTGGTCTCACCTCTTTGTACTAGCATGTTGTTTTGCAGGAGACCCACTGGGCACAGGCAGGGGAGGAAGGTCACGACCTCGAGCACCACAGGCACCAGCATTCCTGGCCAGCACAACCGAGAGGCTGGGAACTTAACTGCCACCGGAGCCAATTCTGAAGCAGGAAGTCCTGCAGTTAGGAAGATCCGGTGCATCGGCCAATCAACTCTGCCAACTTGAAACTTCCTTCCTGCAACCCCTTAAAACATGCCTGGAGCCTAGACGAGAGAGACAGATCTGAGCCTTGTTTCCTGTCTCCTCGCCTGCCCACCTGTCAATAAAGCCTTTTCTTTTCTCTAAAGCAGGTGCCATCGTATTTGCCTCTGTGCACGTGGGGAAGGGAGCCACTGCTTGGTAACAGTAGTAGCTCCAGCACCTGGAGGTCTGACACGACCTTTTCCTCCTGGGCATTTTCAGCAAAGTGACTGATTTCTGGAATCCTTTTTTTAAAAAAAGATGACCGGTAAGGGGATCTTAACCCTTGACTTGGTGTTGTCAGCACCTCACTCTCCCAAGTGAACCAGGGACTGGCCCTCTGGCATCTTTTTTTTTTAAACAAGCCAATACCAAAGTGCTGGCCTTTCAGGCATAAGTGGGCCCTTGTGTGTGCACACCCAGGTAACACCATGCTGTCTGGCTGGGGCTCCATACGTTGTAGTTAAATGCTTGCTGACTCATGGACCTCGGCCTCCCCTTTGACACCTCTTTGGGGACCATAAAATTCAAATTTTGATTCAGGCAACTTGGTGCAGGCTCCACAAGTCGTGAGCTCTGAGCAGCACCTAGCTCAGGTCATAGCTGCTGGCCATGGGCCTTCTCTACAGACAGTATTTTTTTAAATTTCGGCTTGGACGTCTAAATCCCTGTTCCGGGACACAGGCAGGCCTGGCAGGTGTGGGCTGCAGGGGTGTCAGTTGTGTTGAATTAGTTGCCAACCTTTAATAAGGGAGAAAAGTCAGGACCTCCAGTTTCAGACATTTAGCTATCCTGGGCCATGTGCCATTGGGCTGGAGAGAAGAGGAAGGGACTCCCAGCAGGGGGACAGTGTGGGCAAGGTGGATGGGAGGGGGGAGTCCCAGCTCAGCCACCAGGTGGCAGGCGTGAGCCACTGATGGGAGGCAGGACAGGGAGGGGGCCCGGCTGCAGAGGAGGGGAGGGGTGTAACGAGGTCTCAATTTCCAGGTCTGCAGGAGGAGGTTCTCCCCAGGAGTTGTCCTGTGAGTAGGGAACAACCCCAAGACAATGGTGTGCGGGACAGGCCTGTGCAAAGGCCCTGAGACAGGACCAGGGAGGAGGAGCTGGGCTGTGCAAGGCCTTGTGTGTGGAGCCTGGGTTTTGTTTTATCCTGGTGAGGGGAGTCTACCCCCAGGACGGGCTGGTGTCTGTAGACTGCCAGTGTCTTCTCAGTACCACACTCTCCCGAGTGAGCCACGGGCCGGCCCCTGCCAGTGTCTTCTCAAAGCAGATAAGAAAGAGATCAGCTCGAATGCTAATTTACACTTTTTAAAACACCAATGCCAGGCTTCTTAGCTCAGTTGATTAGAATGCAGCCTTACAACACCAAGGTCATGGGTTCGGATCCCGGTAGCAGCCAGCTGCAAAAACGTGGAGAAAAAAAACCCCGAGCTTTAACTGGGAACCCCAGGGCCAATTTTGCCACTTTTGAGCCATGGGGCCGGTCCCTGCGTAGCTCTGGGCCTTGTTTTCCCCACCTGCAACGTGGGGATGCTGCAGTTACCCAGGGTGAGCTTTTTTTTTTTTCATAGCAGTGCGCCACCGGGCCGGCCCCCAGGGCGAGCTTTTATAGAGGGTTCTGTGAGGGGTGGACATCAGGCCCTGGGTCTGTGTCCTCACCCGGAGAAGTTTGGCTTGGACGTTTCTAAATCCCTGTTCCAGGACACAGGCAGGCCTGGCAGGTGGGGGCTGCAGGGGGCCGACTGCAACACGTTGCAGCCTTGAGCAAGGGAGACAGACTTGATGCCCAGGAGGGGCGCTTACGTGGGTGCTCGGGCGTGGCCATGCCGGGCAGCCTGGTCCCCCTCGCAGGCCTCCTGCTTTGGCCTGGCCTAGCCCTCTGCTCCTCCCCTTCCCAGGGGACCCAACCAGGCCAGGCTGCTCTGTGAGGTTAGAGGTCACCCCACCCCCAGCCTGGTTCCTGGAATGAGGACAGACCAGTTGTGTCAGAGCAGCAGGACAAAAGCCACACTTTGGGGGGCATCTCTGGACCACCCAGTCGCCAGAACTCACGGGTGCCAGCTGGGCACATGATCCCAAATCCCAGGCTGGGAGGGCGTGGAGGGGGGAACTGGAACAGGGAAACTGAGGCACAGAGACACACACAACCCCTTGGTACAAGCTCCACATTTTTCATTCCCTACACATCTGTTTGCAGATGCTGGGCACACACTGATGAACGAAAACAGACCCCTCTCTCCAGCCCCATCCCGCCCTGTCCCCTCCACCCCGGAGGACCCGCAAAGGGCAGCCCCGTTACCTGTGCCGATGCCTCGAGCGCCCCTCCCTGCCCCCAGCCCTGGGCTCCCGGGCTCTGCTCATAGAGGCGGTTTTGAGTTTCAGCTCCTGGGAGCCTCCCCGCCTCCTAACGCTGAGCAGGCGGCCCAGGGAGGTGGGGAAGTCGGCTGGGCTGTGGGAAGCCGGGGTGGAGGAGGTGCGGCCTGGACCCCCTCCCTGACTGCCCGCCAGGGGCTGGGGAAAGCTCAGGGCCTCTCAGCTCCGTCTCTGGGCTCTTCAACTGAGGAATAATGATGTAGGACCAGACGATTCAGTTGCCTGGAAAGGGGTCTTTTTCTTTTTTGTCCTTTTTGAGACAGGCCGCACCCCGCTTAGCCAGTGAGCGCTGTGAGTGCACCGGTCATCCCCATATAGGATCCGAACCCGCGGCGGGA